GCTCAGGTCGCCCGGCGCGCCGCCGCGGCCCTCGAACTTCGCCGCCCCGGACGCCGCGGCGTCGTGCTTGCGCACGGCCAGATCGAAGTCGACGCCGCGGTCCAGGCGGATCTCCGAGAGCAGCGTCGCCGCGCCGGACACGGCGTCGCGCCCCAGCTCCTCGCCGCGCACGACCCAGCTCCGCGTCGCCCGGATGTCCGCGACGCCCGCGTCGAGCGTGCCGTTGGCCAGCGCGTCGCGCAGCACGCAGCGGTGGCAGGCCGTAAAGTACTCGAACAACAGGCCCTGGTCCGCGACCGTCGCCGCCTGGAGCTTGTTGAGGAACGTGCGGACGTCGCCGTCCTTCTTCGGGTCGATGGCCAGCTCCTCGTAGGCCGCGCGCGCCAGCGCCGCCAGCAGACGACAATCGTCGCCCGCCGGCAGGTCCGCGGAGCGGTCCGCGGCCGCGTACGCGTCGCAGGAGAACGGCGCGAAGGACCCCGCGGCCGCGAAGCGCGCCTCGCCGTCGCCGCGCGCCCGCGCCCGGTAGTCGCGCCGCGCCCCATCCAGCGCCGCCTTCAGGGCCTCGTGGCCCTTGGCGCCCGGGTCGACGCCGAGCGCGACGGCGGCCGCGTCGAAGCGGCTCGTGCACGCCTCCGCGAGCTTCGCGAGCGCCGCGCGGCCGTGGCGCGTGTCGAGGTCGAAGTCGCTCAGGTCCTGGCCCGACGCCGCGCGCCGGTCGCCCTTGGTCAGCGCCCCGAGGCTCGCGAGGCGCTTCGCGACGGCCGACGCGAAGCGCGCCTCGCCGCCCAGGTTCGTCGTCAGGAGCTTGTAGACGGGCGCGGACTCCTGGTTCGCGCGGTGGGACCGGCCGAGCTGCTGGATGGACTTGTCCGCGGACCAGGCCAACTCCAACGTGATGTGGACGCGGCGCCGGCCCGCCGCGGGCGAGCCCCGGGCCGCGTGGAGCGACACGCCCGTCGACGCGGCGTCGGAGATGATCGCGACGTGCTTCCGCCCGTCCATGAAGGCCTTGCGCTCGGCGACGTTGAGGCTGTGGTCGCCCGAGTCGCCGCCGCGCGCCTCGTACTTGAATTTCCCCGAGGGCCCCCGGACGACGCGGCCGGACCGGCCCGTCATCTCCGCGACGCCCGCGGGCCCGCCGAGCGCGTCGACGAGCGCGTCCAGCGGGCTCGGCGGCGTCGGGAGCTCCTCGAGCACACGCAAGATCTGGCGCTTGAGCTCCACGAGGTCCTGGAAGACGAGCGGGTGCGCGCGGCGGCGGATCGCCTCGGCCTTGGCCGCGGCGCGCGCGCGCTTCCAGGAGTCGACCTCGGCCCGCGACGGCGGGCCCCGGGCCGTCGCGAGCAGCCGGTAAATCACGGCGTCGTCGGGCACGGGCTCGTCGGCGACGTCGTCGAGCTCCTTGAGCGCCTCCGTCGTCGGGAAGAACTCGAGGACGAACTTCTTCGCGGACGCGCGCGCGGACGAGCACAACCCCGGCGCCGCGTCGCCGAAGCGCTTGTGCTTCTCCGCCATGACGTCGCCGAGCCCCGCCTCGCCCGTCGACTGGAGCCCGATCACGACGGACCGGCCCTCGTCGAGCGCGCGCCGCGCCTCGCGGACGACGAACGGCACCTTGGCCGCGGTCTGCACCTCCTTGAAGAAGCGCAGCTGCGCGCCCCAGAAGCGCTGCCACAGCGTGCCCTTCTTGACGCCCGTCTTCCGCGCCGCGTGGTCCAGGGCCCGCCGGAGCCCGCGCCACCAGCGCGCCTGCGCGTCGTAGTCGCGCGCCGCGGATTCGTCGAGCGCGCACTCGACGTTGTCGAACTCGCAGCGCGTCCACGCCAAGCCCCGCGACACGTAGGCGCCCGAGCTCTTCAGTTCGAGCGCGAGCATCTCGAGCGCGCCGACGCCGCGCTTGTCCATGGTCTCCGCGAAGACCCGAAAGCTCTCGAAGGGCGTGCCGCTGCCCCACAAACCCAGCCGCGTCGCGTAGGCCATGTTCGAGATCTCCGTGACGCCCGTCGCGCTCGCGTAGACGACGCGCGCCAGGGGCAGCCGCTCCTGGATGGCGANG